GTTTTCGTGGGGAAAACTTTGGGGCACAAAGCACGCATGCTCGGACACAGAACTTTTAAGCGCGGACCTGTGCCTAAAAGAGCAGCGCAAAAGATGAGTGTGGATAAGCCCTTGGTCTGTTCTCAACTTTTGTGGGAGCAAATTGCACCCTTGGTGCTATCCGTGGTCCTGCAACTTTTGAGCCCTCTTGCCACACAGTTTCTGGCATCAGACTTGTTTTTTTTTAAAGGAGATGCAGCTGTGCAGAGCCTTAATCTGGAATGTGTTCCCAATCTGGAGAGAAGCCACACACCAGTTTCCCATCCGAAATCCACCCTCATTCCTGTCTCTTAGTGTCTGAGTACAGGCGTTCCCCACCCCTGTTACACGGGGGGTTGTGATCCGGGTCCCTGTGCACATAAATGAAATCATGTAAAGTAGGGAACACGCTCTAAGCACTCTTCAAATGCTCTCTCTGCTATGCTCTCTTCAATCCATATCAAGTTGGTAGCCCTAATGGTGGGGTTTTCTGCAGTCCCTTTTGGCTTCCTTATGACTTCCCACAAGTACCAGCTGGCCAACAGGCCCAGCTACATCTTCTCCACCAATCAGACACAAAGAAGATGTACCTAGAACCTGAAACGACCCTACAGCTTCCCCCTTCTGTATAAGAAGCCTCGGTGCTGCTTGTCCCAGTTTTGTCAGTGAATAACCAAGCTTCAAAGGAAGAAGCTGCTGGATGAGGCTGATGGCCCAGCTAGTCCAGCATCATGTTCTCACAACGGCCAACCAGATGACTATGGGAAGCCCACAAACACCTAAGCACCGCCACGCTCTCCTCACTTGAGCATCTGAGAGTTAAATTTGAAATTCCTGCAGCTGGCTAAGTTTAGGCGAAGTTGAGTAAACACAATCTTCCCTGATGTTGTTATCGTCAAGCATTATAATTTGGACCTGAAAAGGCTTCTGTGTTATCATAAGACTTGAACATACAGACTTGATTATATATTCTTTCCTTAAGTTTTTGTTTCGTTTTGGAACGGCTGGCACAATCTGTATGTAAATGTTTCTCAAAGCTCGTAGGACCGTAATGGGTTTGTTTTCTTAAAGGAAAAAACCTACTGCATCACCCTGGCATAATTGAACATGAAGAGGAGATCAGAATTAAGAGCAGCTGCCTTCAATAGATTGCTGCAGGGTGGGGAAAGAGAACAAAGTACGGTAGTTTTGTTTTTGGTAACTTGGATTTTTATGGCTGAAGGGGCCCATGTGAAGTAGTATACAGGAAGTCTAGTCTAGTCTAGTCTATATTAAACTTGTATCCAACCCTTCCTCACAAAGGAGCCCCAGGAGGTAGACATATCCACAGAAGGATGTCTAGGAACTGTAGTGCATGCAGGAAACTAGACATACCCAAAAGATATTCCACTGTGGGTGTAAAGTAAGAATGCCTCTTGTAAAATGGCCTTTCCCTTAGTCCAAGCTTCCCCAAATGAGAGCAACTTGTGTGTTTGTGTGTAACTGGAAAAATGTGACACCACACCTACAGTGGGGGTGGGTGGGTTGGTTATTGGTTTCAGAACGAGTAATGCCTGTGAACATCAACAGATGTCCACCCTTACCTATGGGCCTCTGCCTTGGTTACATTTGCCACGTTTTTCTACTATAAATTTCTCGAGGTGCATTGTGTCAAAGTGGCTGGAGAGGTGAACATCTGCTTCTGTGTTCTCATGCTGTTAATTTGTATTCTGGTTTGAGAGAATGATTGGCTGGTTCGTTAGTTTCCCTCCCCCCCGCAAAAAAAAAATTGTAGCTGGCCCTGTATTTACACATGTGGACGCCAAGTGGTTCAGCTCTGTGGTTAGCGGGCTGTGGCTACGAGAAAAGATAATGTGTTGTTACGGAGCACACATGCTTTACATTAAAGGGAGCGCTTTTTTAAAAAAATGTGCAGGACAAGTGTGTTTATTTTAACAGTTTATATGTGCTGAACTTGCTCATGCTGCTCTATGGGATGGGTTAGCATCTGGCTTGCAGGTGTCACTGAGTCAGTGCTACGGATGTCTCCATGTCCTCAAGCAACCTTGGTTGATAAGCCTCACAAACATATCCAGAAACATAAAGGCATCTAAAGGGGCTTCTCTTCTTAAAAATAGCTCTATTGATCTGACCCTTAGAGCAGTGGTTTGGGAAGTATCTTAAACTATTTAAGGTTCAGCTTTTAAAAGGCTGAACTGATTACACACCTGGCCTGGTGCAATGTTGCCATTGATAACCTTTTCTTTTTCTTCTTCCATGAATTGGTCTAAACACCCTTTCAAAGGTGCCTAAAAGTTGGTGGTCATCACATCGTTTTTTGTAGTACAGTTGTACCTTGGTTTTCAAACAACTTAGTTCTCGAACGTTTTGGCTTCCGAACGCTCCAAACCCGGAAGTGAGTGTCCCGGTTTGCAATCTATTTTTGGAAGCCGAATGTCCGGCGCGGCTTTCGTGGCTTCTGATTGGCTTTCAAAGTATGTTGTTTGGTTTTGATCTGATATGCTTCTTCATCTCATAACTTGCATATGCCATGTGGTTTCCCTTCCTTCCCCCGCTGCTTCTGTACATGCTCTGCATTGCTAATTTACAATGAGAAGATAAACCGGAGCCACTCCAGGCCCCTACTAGCCTCTATACGGCAAATGTTGAAACACAAAATGGGCATCTTTACACACAAGTCTCCTAACATTTTCTTTCCACTGATGAAAGAGCGATTGTCTTTTGGGCTGCTGCTGGGTAATTAGATATGCCTCTACATCTTTGTTGATTGGGACACAAAGGCCTCATTCCTCTTCCCCCAGGCACTGTTGTCTGGAGTCAAGATGGGAGGCTGTGTTTTGAACATGGTTGGTAAGTTGTGCCATTTTTAGGGGGTGAAAAACAATGGCATTAAGGAGCGGTAGGGAAGTATATAGAGCTTTTCATACAAAAGGTCCCAGGTTCAGTTCCTGTTATCTTCAAGTAGGGCTGGGAGAGACTCCCTTTCAGAAATCCTGGGGAGCTGCTGCCAGTCAGTGCTGGATTAGACAAATGTTCAGCTTCCCCTGTTCCTAGGGGATGCGGGCAGGAGATCATCACCCTATCAACAAGGTAACAGATACCAAGACAGGAGAAGCTCCAACCATCTTAGGAGGTGATGGAGATGTGCTCCCTTTCTTGTGGGATATAGCAGCTGTGATTTGGGAAGGAAGCAAGACTCAGCCAAGAGGGAAGAAGGGCGGGATAAAATCAATCAACCAACAAGTCAATTTTTTAATTATTTATTTAAGGGCTGGAGGCAGCTGGGCTAGAGAGGCTTCTCCTAGTGCTGAGCTGGGTGTTTGAAAGTTGAGCTGAGGAGGGAGAGAGCTCCCCTCTTGACAGAACCAAGTGTCTTGAATTCTCTTGTCAAATCCTTCTGCTACTCCTTTCACTTGACTTTGCAATTTTATTGTCGCTTGTTCGTAAACATTTTGCATTTTGGGGGTGGGGGATTCCCAAGTGGTGAGTTCAAGTCAACACACTCTTTTTATCTCTCTCTATCTCCTCCCAACCTGTCCTAGTTCTGAAGCTTAGCTGACCCCTTGACTTATTTGTTGGAAGCTGCCCAGAGTGGCTGGGGCAAGCCACCCAGATGGGCAGGGTACAAATAATAAGCCCCCTTATTGTTGTTATAAGCCCCCTTATCTCCCCTGCAGCAGCTGCCTACAACTCCTCCCTATCCCTGGGCCCCTTGTGATGTTTCAAAATGCAACATTTGCTTTTCCTTGGAGACCAAATAAGAAGCTTTTATTTTTTCTGGGGATGGCAAGAATTGGGAGTTGGTATAACGATCTCTCTCCACCCACCCCTGGTGCTCAGAGAACTGCTATTGTTACAACTTGGCTCCAACCCCCCGTTTGGAAAACACGGCTGTTTGGGATGGGCGCTTGAACTGCAATACTTCATTCCGATGGAATCTCCTGCTTGAGAACAAACCCTTAAGCAAACAGTTGACTGTGCTGACAAATCCCTTGGGATTTGCCCTTCCCCGTCCCTGCCTCCTTCTGTGGCATCCTAGGTAGGCAGATGCACACCTGGAGATACAGGCAAGATGTGTGGGTGCAGAACAGGGACTGGGGGGAAGGGAAGAAATTCAATCCAGCCCGCATTTTAATGGCAAATCCACCCATGCACACGTCCTGAAACAATTTGTGAACAGAAAAACAGCTGTCCTTTGAAATTTGCACTCACAGCAATGTGAATGAGTTAGCAGGGCAGGATACTAATACAGTGGTACCTCAGGTTACAGATGCTTCAGGTTACAGGCTCCGCTAACCCAGAAATAGTACCTCAGGTTAAGAACTTTGCTTCAGGATGAGAACAGAAATCGTGTGGTGGCACTGGGAGGCCCCATTAGCTAAAGTGGTACCTCAGGTTAAGAACAGTTTCAGGTTAAGAACGGACCTCCAGAAGGAATTAAGTTCTTAACCTGAGGTACCACTGTATTTAAATAAATTAATACTATATTGGGGCAGGGGGGATTGTGAGAGATTAAGGTGGCAGTTTACACCTGGAGCCAACCCTGGGCTAGAACTTTGGAAAGGGAGAGGAGGTTTGCTTCTTGATGAGCAACTGGGAAGACTCTTGCCTGCATACTTTCTCTCCGGTCTCTCCACAACTGAAAGGGACTAGAGATTGTAAGAAGACTTAAGAATTAAAGGAAAGGTCCCTAAGATAAACCAAAATAGGTCACCCCTCAGGAGTCCACCTTTTTGTTACAACATCACTTCTATAGCCCTGATTCTTCCGAAGAACTCTGTGACTGTTGAGAGTTCTATTTAAGAAGCTGCTATCCTTTTCACCGCATAATAAAGGCTCTCCCACAGAGACATAACAGGCAAAAGAAGTGTAGTGTAGATAATAAAAAGGTAGCCATCATATATATTTTTTAAAAAAGATAAAGAACATATTTATGAAATGCCCGAATGAGCAATACTGATGCATTTTTGTTTTGTTCACAGGTGTGCAACTTGACCCAGGCGAAAGGGGAAAAAGAAGAAGAATCCTTTGCATTTAAATACCCAGTGAACACACACAGTACTCAAAGGCCCCTGGTTTGGAAGACAATGACAATGTGACCTTTTGTTACTGCCCACTCGTGAGTTTTCGCCCTCCTAAGAGGAAGATCGTGGCAGAGAATAGCACTGACGAAAGACACTGGGCTTGTTGAATCCTGGGCTGCTGATATTTTGAAGGAAGCTTTTATCCAGCTGTTGGGAGACCGCCTTTCACTTAGCTTCAGGAGAACCAATTGCTCAGTGTGCAGAAAATCCCAGGTTCCCTCTCTGATATCTTCAATTAGAAGTCTTTCTGATACAGGGTCAGGAAATACCAGAACAGACAATACTGGACTTAATTGGACCAATGGGCATGAAATAGCTTTCTAAAATCAATTGCAGTGGATTATGTTACTGCTAGAACTGATTTTCATATACCTGAAGTTTCCTGGTGGTGTCTCCTGACAACAGCATACACTCACATCTTGAAAGGGTTGAGAAAGACGAGGTCTTCTGCTTTGCTTCTGGCAACTCTGGAAGCCATGCTGGCTGATTTGGGGCAACCGGAAGATTCCTTGTCAGGAAGCATAAACTGCCAGCATTTCCTTTCCACAAATGTCATCACAGTAGGTAAGTCAAACAGAGCTTTCTGTTGTATGCCTATAAACTACCATTTGTCTGTGGAGAAGCAAAGACTGCCTCCAGGACTTATTTATGTGTAGATTGGGTGGCCTCCCGCCATGTTCAGGTTGTCGAAGTGCCACAAATGACTTGTGTTAGTGTTCTGAGGGCTGATGGAGGGATGGTGCTGGTAATAATTTTAACTACATTTGGGCTATCGACTTCTGTGGACATAATTGTAAAGCTGTTGCATTATACACTGTGGTTTTGTTTCGTTCTTGCTTTTGGAGCTGGAAGGGAAACATTTCGTTCTGCTGTTGCACAAGAGGTTCCATGGTACTTTGTTTCCAGAAGAGATTCCATAAGCTTGTGGGGCAAGTGGAAGAACAATGTTGCATTTGGCTTTAATTTTCTTTCTTGGTGCTCTATAGCACAAAGTATGAAATAGCACAGAAGATTCATTTTTCCACATGTGGAACTTTGTCTGTTTTTGGACTACAGTTCCCACCATCACTGACCACTGGTCCTGCTAGCTAGGGATGATGGGTAGTTGTAGTCCAATAACAGCTGGAGAACCAAGGCCTTAACTCTGTGTCCTTTTGCCTTACAAGCTGCAGCTGACTGATGTGAGATTGGGCCTTCTCAGATTAGATGCCCAGATTGTGGAAAGACCCCTCCAGAGATCCTTTTTATGGGTGATTTGTGCTCATTGATGGTGTTGGAGTGGTCATATGTGATCTTGCTTTCAATACTGTTTGCACCTGCAAAAGTTTCAAGGTGGACATGCTGCTTTGTTCCCAGTTTGTGCATGTCCTACAACTTGCTTCAGAAATCTTGTAAGCATTCCAAGTTTTTTCCCTTGTTCTTTTGTTGTGCTGTAGTGCAAAAGTGGTCCTCTGAACAGCAGTAATTTTGGTAACATTGGAGAATGATCACAGAACAACCAGTGAAGTGGAGTGGTGTGTGGAGGGTCCCTTTTGAGTTTTAGATGAGCTGTTATGACGTCTTTTTGCTGTGGGCACAGAATAATTTTAACCCCACCCCCCTTTAGCAGATTGGGAGTGTTTTCACTGATTCCATCTTGCACTTGGTTTTGATTGCAATTTTACTTATTTTTGGGACTATACTTCTTATCAGACATGTATTCATTATGTTAAGCTGCCTTTGGGATGGCAATTTAGGGCCTGAAAAGCAGAGTGTAAAAAGAAACAGGTGGGAACTGCAAGAAAAGGCTGCAACATGGAATGCTCTTCCGTGATGTCCCATTCCATTCCCCCTCCCTGTTGGTTTGCTGTCTGAGTGTACTTAGTCCTGTGTGAGCTGCTTTGGGGGTTTGTTTGTTTTTGGGTGCTTCTGCATCTCTAAGGTTCCCCCAACCTTGCTGGTATCTCCCTCTTGTACATGGTTGGTGCAGTTTTGGATTGTGCAACTCACCCCGAAACAGAAGGCATGAGCTCTCTCTATAGAGCGTGTTCTTATATAGAGTTGTATCCAGTGCTCATCCAGCTCTTGGCAAACCCATTAGTGGCTGTGGCTAAATGAGACTCATTACATTCACTCTGTGTAGGACTGAGTTGGATACAACCTACAGGGGGTTGTCTGTTTTTTTGTTCTTTTGCTTGCCTGATTAATGCATGGAGGCTATGATTTGTCTTGTGTTTCCAGACTAGTAGGTAGTAGTTTAGAGACTTTTTCTTACAGAGTGCATAAGAATGGGAGCATATCTCTTCAGGGGGTTGACTATATAAACTGTTTTGGCCTATATGTGAGTGGACCTCAAGCTTGCTACCAACACTATAGGGTATTCATGCACCCACCCTTTCCTCCTGAGCTACATTCTGACCGACTCCACTTCATAGCGACTGACTGAGGCATCTTTTATTAGAGCAGATACAATATTTATGTCCACAGTGCTGTACTATGCTCCTATTGCCACCCAAGAAATCTGTTTTTGCTTGACTCTGTATGTAGATACACACACACACACACACACACACACACACACACACTTCTCCAGATGTTTGCAATAGGCTGACACAAAGTGTGAATTTCAAGCCACTTGCCTTAGAATTTAATAACCATTTAGTGCAGTCCTAACTATATCTGCTCTGAAGTTTACCACATGGTGTTCAGGTGAGCTTCCTCCCACATAAGAGGGTACAGGATTGTAATCTTATTCTTAGTTTCATGACAAGATTTGTGCCCAGTTCATTTCTGGTGTTCAGACTCTATGGCTGGATCTAATTGCCTTTTCAGATTAGAAGCTGGATGTGTTCTTCTGTCCTGTAGATCTGTACCAAGACTACTCCTTGGTTTGTTGGGTTCCTATCCCCATGGAGTCCTCTACCTGATATCCTTTGGATAGAGAAATTTAGCCGGAAACAGCAGCGTTCATTAGCCTTGTTAAAGCCTGCAAGTCTGAGAAATGTAGAGGATCTGATTTAAAATGCTGTTTCTTTCCCTCTTAACTATATTAGGATGAAATGGTGAATATGTTGATCTGGACACCATGGTTCTAAAAAATGTGGAACATGCTGCATAAGTACTTTTTTTGGAAAAGGGAAATTGTACACTTAAAGTTGTATGTTTTTTCACCAGCAAATCTAGCAATCTCAGCACCTCTGATCCATAACCCAGCTTCCTGGCATGCTACCTTTCTGTGGGCAGATTTTCATCCATGTTCAACCATGCAGCCTTCCAGCACTCCAATGTAATGCTATTTGAAATTGCATTTCTGAACATATAGCTTGGTTCTGAGTTCATATTCTGTGCAAATGTTCTCTCTCTCTCTCTCTATACATATATACACAGTCGTACCTCGGAAATCAAACGGAATCTATTCCGGAAGTCCGTTCGACTTCCAAAACATTCAGAAACCAAAGCGTTGCTTCTGATTGGCTGCAGGAAGCTCCTGCAGCCAATCAGAAGCTGCAGAAGCCCCGTCGGACATTTGGCTTCCAAAAATAGTTCACAAACCAGAACAGTCACTTCTGGTTTTGTGACATTTGGGAGCCAAAACGTTTGGGAACTAAGCTGTTCCAAAACCAAGGTACATGCGACTGTACTCTGTCTGTCTGTCTGTCTGTCTGTCTGTCTGTCTATTGGAGGTGTTGATGGAGTAGTTTGAGCAGTTAAGTCAACTGTAGTGTGACATGTCCAACTTGATCAGTTAGTTTTATCCCCAGGTTTTCTCATTTTGGCTGTGTGTGAATATGTTCCATGCTAAAAGGGATGCTTCTAGCACCAACACTTTGGGTAACAGAGAAGCGGTGGTGTGTTTTGTTTTGGCTTCATTTTTGGAGGCTGGCAAATTTATCTTGCTGCGGTGGGGAGGTGGAATCCTGGGAAAACATCAACAATAAATAAACTTCAGGATATTTTCTTTCTTTCAAACAAGATTTTTAGTTGCTGAAAGCCTTCAGGTGGTGGCATGGGATTTTGCTTTCCCCCTGTCAGATCCGCCTGGCCTTGAAAAAGTAAGTCAGTTAGCAAATAATGAAACTTGTTCTTGTTGAGAGATTTATCCGTTAGCTTCCTTCCTTGCAAAGTGTAGCAGGCAGCTGTGGATTCCTGTGGCCAGGAGTATGAGTTGGATTTTCATAGTGCTTTCACCACGTCTGCTTAGTTTGGAATAGGGAACCTTTATTCTCATAAAGATCCGCAGAAAAGTCAGTTGGGGGGTCAGAGCTAATGGTCTATGGAGCTGGAGCCCAGGTGGGGCAGAATATATTCCTCTTTCAGCAAACCCTCTAAGTGGAGATGTTTAGGCCACTTGATATCTGCATTGGGTGTGAATTTATTGCACACAGACACACACAATTGGGTTAAATTGTACGCACACAGAGAGACATATACACATTCTGTTTTTATTAATGCAAATGTTTAAGCTTTTTTTGTTACATACACAATTGTTCTGTGTATGTTTTTACTACACTGCAAATCAATTCTGGATGCTTCGTGGGAAAAGATTCATGAATAAATAACAATAATGTGAACTTTTATCTTGTAAGCTGCCTTTGAGTTTGCTTTTTTCATGAAGAGGAATGGGGGATATACATTTCTAAGTAATGAAAAATATGGAGCTGCAACTTGAGGACCAAGGCTGTACTTTGGTTAGTTCAGGCAACCCTGATGAGGTACATGTCAAAGATGTTTCTCTAATTGGCAGTGATTCATGGCAAATGGCCTCTCTCTCTATATGAACAAATTCATAGGCCATTGGCTCCTGAACACCTAACCCAAGAGATATTGAAGTTCTGCTGAAAAGCCGTTTATATTTTTTTTGCAAAAAGAAGAGGAGGAGGAAATGGGAATTTAGAGTTTGTGATGAGCTCTGCCTTGCTCCCAAGCAGGAAAACCAATAGACCAGGTGTGTGTGTGTGTGTGTGAGTGAGTGTGTCTGAGAGCAAGTGGGTAAGCGAGCCCTATTAACATACTGCCCCTTTCCTTGCTTTAGACTGCCCTTCTCCATTTCTTTAAACAATGACAATACTTCCCTTTGAAGCTAATGGTCACCATGGAAACAGATTACTAAAGGATGCAGCTAAGCATTGCCTTTAAAAAAGAAAGGAGGGGGGGAAAGCAAGTAAGCGCAGCCTTTGGTGCTGGGAGCGCAGCATCAGGTTTCTGGCCTTGGGCTTAATCTTGGCGTTCTGTGGAATGGGGAGAAATTGAATGTGCGTTGCGGAGCCGTTTATGAAAGTTTGCCATGCTTGGAAGGGGAGAGGGAGGGTGGCAAGCCATGATTTTGTTGCAGAGAACGGCGCTGGGTTGTCAGATGTAATATTGCAACTCATGCTGGTTCAATTCTGGGGTTATCATTTCATGCAAGTTAACTCGGCGAAAAAAGAAAGGACATCTCCCCTCTATTTCAACTCTGGTCTGCTTCTAGGCTTGCCTCAGCCACCTATGCTAGTGCTGTATTTTATTTGTGGAATATGAGAACCTCTGAGCATAAGCCCTCCAAGTGCCCCTATTTTCCAGGGACAGTCCCGGATTTACTGAAGCCA